TGTCCATGTAAGTTGTAAGTGGTCGAGACACCAGCAAGGTCTTCAGGAAGCGGGCTGCCGCGTCTGGTTCCGAGAGCAGGCCCATAACTTTGGCTACTCGAACCTGTTGCCGCAAGCTGGGGTTCATATCTGGATTGTCTTCATCCATAGCTTGCAGCGACACAAGGTCTTCCAAGTTATCTGCGGCATCTTGTTTACAGAGCCCCCAAATTTGCTTCAATAAACCCCGGATCACCATGCCCCTTGCTACCCATGTGCAAGCCTCGTCAAAGTTTTTCCAGCGATAAAGCAAAGGGCATGCAAAGAGATGGGCGAACAAACCATCCAGCACCGCGCGCATCCTGAGACGAAAAGCCTTCGTAGACGCGCAACAGCCGGGTGCACAGTAATGGCGCAGCGGCTCTCCAGGATCCAATGGCTGACACCAGTCCGTATTCAGCATCTGCAATGTGAGGTCAAGTTGCTCTTCCGTGAGCTCCAGGGAGCACTCCTTCAGCAGTTTTGCGTTGCTCGCAATATCTGCCTCCGTGGTAGCTGGCAGAGAAGCTACTGGCTGTCGTATAGCCGATCGTGCAAACGAAGCCAAGACGTTGTCAAGTCTCTGCCGAAACAAAGTGCCTCTGAAAGCATTGGCCATTCGAACGAGGCCTGCGATCAACCCAGCCCAGACTATACTAACTTATAACTTATAACTTTATAACTTATAACTTACTTATACCTATTTACTACTTTTTTCAACGCTTCACTTCTATCTTCTACTATCTATCGTCGAACCAACTCTCTCACCGGTTCTACAAAGCACACTGACCCGTCTGACACCGTCTGACTAACAACCAAACAACAATTGTAACGAGCTGCCTGTGGCCACACCTTCCACCCTGAGAATCTGAGGTTTTTTTGCTAATGCACTTTGGTGGTGATTGCAAAATGCATGGACCAGCGTTGTCACCGAGCCATTCCCACCGTCCTGCCGCCGCTGCAGCACGCGTTCTTGCTCCAAGGCCAATGCTGATACGTTTGATGACAGGGCATCAGTGCCTAGGTGACGTAGTTTAACAGGGCATCAATCGGCATCAATGCCCAGGCTGCCTAGCTGACTTACTTAAAGAAAAACACAATCTGTCTACTTGTCTCTCTGCAATGTGTCCAGGTGCCGGTGAGGACGACTCTGAATGGGATATCTTGAAGAATGTTTTCTAGAGCTTTGCCCCCAAGGTGTGCCGGTGGCACCTCATCTCCCGGCAGCATCCATTTCCCGATTCGGTCGAGCAGGGTCGCGGCGTTCGCCTGATGCGGCATATGGCGGCATATGTTTCAAGCCCACATAAGATTCATAGGTCTCATTGGTATATTAGTATAGTTATAGTCATAGTATAGTATAGTATAGCATAGCCAGTACAGTATAGACAGTATAGCCGTATAGCCAGTATAGTATAGCCGCCAGTATAGTAGTATAGCCGCAGTATAGCCCAGTATCAGTATAGCGCATAAACTAGCCTTACAGCCTAATAGCCTTTATACTATTATAGAATTATAGCCTATAGCCTATAGCCTATAGCCTTACTTATAGCCAGTATAGTCAGTATATAGCCGTATAGCCTAGCCGAGTACACAAGGGTATTGAAAGCTAGATTTAAAACTAGCTGTCAGGGTCAGCGCCCGAAATTTAATCATGGACCACTCTCCTGCCTTCGGCATGACCTGCGAGGGCGCAAAAAGCTGCACAGATTCAACAGCATCGGCGGCAGCTCGCTGCCTGTCACTTCGGCGGGCAACAGCCCACTGCAGCATTCCAAGTAGTGGCTGCACTTTGCGCCGACCAGTACGGCCCCTCTTGCAGCCAAGCACAGGCTGCTGCTCCTGTTCATCTTCCTCCCTCTCCTCCGTCAAATCAGCACCTTCTAAGTCAACGTCTGCCCCCTTTGCAGGGCCAGCCTCTGGAGTAACATAAACGTTGGTATCATCGAAGATGCGGACGAAAATGCAATGAACTGGTTTCAAACCCCTCAACCATTGCATGAAACCTTGCTTCTGTGCAACCAAATGAGAAAGGAGTCCAACGGCTTTGTAACGGCTGAGGGCACCGTCCTTCCTCGTTGTGGCGGCGTAGCCGGTAATGTCGCCCTTTCCATTGAAGAATTGAAAGTACTCCTGCCTCGGATCTTACCATGTATTTATGCATTCTACATTGATTCTATTTCGTTGTGTTGCATTTGTTTCCAACGTACAGCGCTGACCGGAACACTACAGAATATGATGAGTCCTGAACTAAGTTCAGCTGAAGAACACCTTCCTTGTCGCTGCTGAATTTTGACCTCGACCAAAAGCTCCGAAGACGATCCTGCTAATATCTTGAGCTGCTCCTCTACAAGTCTGATGTCTGTGTTCATCCGCTGCCCTCTGCACCTGCTTGCGAGCAATGCCGGCCATAATCGCCAATCCATGTGCTTTGCCACGCGAACGAAAGGATTGCCGAATCTGGCTTTCACGGGCGTCTGTTACCTTTGCGGGGGGACCCAGGACTTCTTGGTTGTTAGTTGTTATGGTCATGGTCCTATGGTGGCTCGAGTCTGGGAAAGGACGAAGTTAGA